CTTCAGCAAGCTGCTCCCCTCTCTGCTGCGTACTCTGGGGGTGCACAAACAGTGCTGCGGACACAACACGCTATACACAAACAGGTTGTATCACTCTACAGCCTCTCACAGAAGCAACTTGAAAATGAAAACTCGATGAGACCACTGGGCACAGTGGCAATCAGAAAGGTTATGGCATAAAATAACTAGCAAAGCACCAAGAAATGCTGCTTTTTGTAGATTACTAGCAAGAAAGGGACCATTGAGGGCATTGGTCCCTTACTCATTGGAGGAACGAGCAGAAAGAGATCATGCTGAGAAAAACAGAGTTTACTGCTTTTTTGCTTCAGTCTTCACTACAGAGCCTTCTGGGATAAAAATTAAGGCAACAAAAAGTAGATTACAGATTATTTGAAAACCTAAAGTCTTCTAATCAGGTAGTCCTGCTGTGTGTCACCCTCCTGGGTTTTCAGAGAAGCAGTGTCATCTAGGATCTTCAAGAAATCGTAGAAGACAGAAAAGGAACCAATAAACTGGAAAAAGCAAATATGGGTATCTTTACAAAGAAAAAGGACTTTGTGAAAATTTTAGTGCAGACATGTAGCTTCAGTTCTGAGGAAAAAAAAATCTTGAAACAGTCAAATATTTTGCCAACATCATCAGAAAATACCATCAAAAAAAAAAGAAAGGGAAGAACAACAGTCAGCAAGGATTTGTCAGGAACAAATTATGTCAAACCAATCTAATTTCTTTCTGTGACAGAATAATGTACCTTATGGATAGAGCAGAAGCAGAAGATGTCATCTTTTTAATTAAGTAAGGCCTTTGACTCTGTCTCGTCTGACAGGCTCATAAGCAAGCTAGCAAAACATGTATAGATGAAATTACTTAAGGTAGATGTAAAACTGATTATAAAGCTGTATTCAGACAGTAGTTATCAATGGTTAACCATCTTAAAGAAGGGACTTATCAAATCTGAAGGCATGTATTTTGCTTCTGTAATATTAACATTTTTATTAATCACCTAGATGGGAAAGGATGCTTATTAATTTTACCAAATACTAAGCAAGGTGGGAGGGGCTATAAGCATTCTTGAGGGCAGAGTTAGAATTCAAAATGATCCTCATAAACTGGATAAAAGAAAAAAGAAAGAGGGATGCAATCAAGTAAGGAGACTTTAACAGGGTTAAGTAGGAATAATCTACTGAATAAACAGAAAATGAAGAACCTACTGGGTAGCAGTTCTATGGAAAACAGTCTGGAGGTTATAGTGATTCATAAAGTGAACATCAGTCAATAAAGTCACAAAAAAAAAAAAGACGAACAAAATTTGCAGATACATAACAAAACTATAATTTATAACTACAGAATTAATCAGTTATCTTCTCCCCTATTACCGATGCAGAGTGTATCATGATAAGTTTTAGGCAACACGGAATCACAGAGTAAGTTAGGCTGGAAAGGACCTCTGGAGGCCATTAAGTCAAATGTTCTGCTCAAAGCAATGCCAGCTGCAAAGTTAGGTTGGGTTACTCAAGGTCCTGTCCAGCTGAGTTTTGAAAATCTCCAAAGACAGAGCTTTCACAGCCTCTCAGAGCCCGTTGCAGTGCTTGACCACTTTTACTGGTTATATCCAGCTAAAATGTCCTTTGTTGCTACCTGTGACCATTGCCTCACTTTCCTCCACTGGGCACCTCTAAGAAGAGCTAGCTGAAGCCAGGAACAAACCCAGCTTCCTCGGCCTCTTCTTATGGAAAAACAGAACAAAATGACACAAAATATCAAGAAGAAACTATGGAAGTCCAGAGGAGAGCAAACTAGAATAAGCAGACGTCTAGAAAACATGAACCATGAGGAAAGGTTAAAAGAACTGGGATTGCTTAGCTCAAAGAAGATAAAACTGATAGGGAGCACAGTAGCAATGTTCAAATATATAAAAAACGGGTACAGAAAGGAAGAAAATAACTTGTTCTCCACATCAATGGCAGTCAGAACAAGAGGCAATGGACTTAAATTGCATAAGGGAGCGTCAGATTAGATTAGGAAAAGCTTCCTAAGGGTAAGGAAGGTGAAGTACTAGAACAGATTGCCTGGGGAGGTTGTCAAATACCCATCACTGGAAAGTTTTAGAAACAGACTGGTATAATCTGACTTGGGGCACAGACCAGACTAGAATGCAAGTCCTATTTTCTGTGCGTTTATGCACATAGTTGACAACAAAACAGTTTTGCAGCCTAGAAATATGGCTACTGAACAAGAATATAGGATCCTCAATCCGATAAAAAGCATTAATCAAAGCAATTGTATGCCAACTTCAAGGCAGGGACTAGAAATAATTTGAGGGGAAATAAAACATCAAGGTTTACTTTCTATCTTTATAAGAAATACACTACGTTTATGATAAAGGTCTCACTTCCATCATTCTGTCAGAGCGGGCAGACACTATAGGAAGAGCTCCATCTGCTTCCTCAACGCACTGATACTATTAAGATGAAATGAGTGTACAGAAGAGTATTGTATATATAGAGAGACATTCACTGAGAACTGAAACTCTCTCAGAAAAGATGTCAAATCTAATCTGGAATAGGTGTCTGCAACTGGAACACTACAGACGCTGTACAAAGGCCAAACATAATCAAAGGTATCAGGGAACTAGTGAGCAACTAAGATTCATGTGGGAGAATATAGACCAAGCTGGAAAAATATCTTAAAACGCAAAGCAACCTGCAACAGGCCTCAGATAAAACTAAGAACGGACCTTTCCTGTGCACGCTCTTACTTTTACGGACTGCTGTTCACCCTGCTGGCAAGTGAATAACTTTATTTATATATAAACTGCTTCACTGAGCATCCTAGACAGAGCAAAAAAAGTTTGCTCCTTTTCTTTAGAAAAACCAACCTGCGGTGACTATGTAAAAAAGAGCAAGCATTCAGTCACATTATATTGTTATGACACCACACCAACCGAATGGGATCGTGGGGGGTGGAAGAAAAAAAGGAAAAAAAACTAAAAAAGCAGGAGGAGTGGTTAAAGTTTCTGGGATTCTGTTAAAGCCACAGGAGGCTTTAACAGGCTGGTACCTCACTTATGTGTACAGCAAACATGCAAGACTTGCGTCTACCTCCAGGACTACCTACCAGGCATATTGCAGCTGACAGAGATAGAAGGAGCAACACGGAAAGAAAAAAAAAAAGAAAAAAGAAGAGGCAGAGAGAGGGACATACATAACTAGAACTACAATCCAGATACCTCAACCACCTTAACAAACTATTTCCTTCTGAACACATCTGTATATTCAGAAGACAATACCTTGTGTTGACTGGATAAATCTTGGCTAGCTGCATACATTTCAGCAAACCCGTGCATGTATGCATCCAGTGCAAACACAGGAGAGGAACTGGTTGTAGAGCGTACACTTACTACTCAATTTGCAGAGAATTATTCACAACCCCAGGAAGAAAAAGGACAATAAAACCCAAAGATAACAGAACAGCCCCCTAAAACACCCCCACTAAAAACAGGACTAGAGGCGAGCCAATCTCTCGCCATGGCTGAATTATACTTACCCCACCTGCAATGCCCATTGAGCCCTTCACTCAATATATCAGTGCGCATTAGATGAGTCTTCCACAATCCCAAGGAAAATATCATCTTTCTCAGAAAGGATTACTTAAATACAACGTATTCTTTTACTCAATGTATCGGTGTGTGTTAGATGAGTCTTCCACAATCCCAAGGAAAATATCGTCTTTCTCAGAAAGGATTACTTAACAGCAATGTATTTTTTTAAAGCACAGACTAAAATATGCACGGGTGTCTTTCATTACATATACAAGCATATATTGCACAAGATCTGACAGGCATTTAACAGGTGAATGCCTTCACCTGGACTGCAAAGACACAGAGGGGTCCAAGTACTCACCGGTCTTCACAGAGAGAAGCAGCATCTCAGTCTTCGTGTCAAAGCCGTGCTCTGTGCAAACACTGTTTAAAGCAGAAGTTTTCAAGCTCGTCTGTCATATTGAAATAATAATCAGTCATTCAAACTGGTGTCATCATGAAAGAACTGTAGGCCAGTAAAAACACCTAACATTAAGGTAGTAATCACCTTCTCACTTTTGTTAGAAAGTTTCAGCTGAAGTCCCAGTGAAAACCAAGAAACTATGTTTTTCCTTTCATCAGAGTCCTCTCGAGACAGGATATTATAACACAGATTTTTTTGTTTTCTTTTTCCTTCACTGACAAAATCACTCCAAAAAGAGTATAACACCAGTTCTGTCACAATGGAAAGGATTAACTGGTTATCCATTTTAGACAAATACTTCTTGGCCATCTACACTGAGTTAAAAAACTGAAAATTATGCGGTTTAACACATCCAAAAATGTATTTGGGTTAGAGCAAGACAGTGACACATGGTGTCTATTTAAAGTACATATTAAAAAATATATATATATAAACCACATAATTTGGTGCATCTCAGCATCAACTATTCAAACCTTCCTAACATGACTAGTGTGTCAGCCACTGGTTTATTTAATTGTATTTTTTAATTAATTTGTATTTTTTAAGGTTCTGGGGAAAGCATAAAAGAGTTGAGGCAACATGGTGATTGAACAACTCATTTTGGTCCCCTGATGATAAAGCTGTCTTTAAGGTATTGGTAAACGCTTCAAGACAAAATGCCATCATCATCTCCCTCATTGCCCATCTCCTTTTATATCTGGCAAATATGCATATTTTGTTCCACTGAATCCTACATTTCTTACACTTTTGGTTTCTAGTAATACAACCTACTCACCTGAATACATGAATAGGACTGTTTTTAGGTTCCTGGATGAAAGCATAAATCCTGCCTTGAGTTTCAACTGGAGAAGCTAAGTCTCTGCTTTCTTGCCCACACACTCTTGATGCCACAAAATGGTTTGCACACTGCATTTCAGAGACAATGGTGGATACAGAATCCCAACACTGCTGGGTCCAATGCTTTAGGACTTTTCTACGTTTAAGCTGGTACATAAAAACAACATAAAAAAAAACAACATAAGGAATTCATATAATTAACTTACTTTGATGGTTTATACCTTTAAATTATGCTTTTTTTAATGTAATAGATATGCTTACAATTTTTGATTGTAATTGGATTTAAAACAATGCCAAAATAGAATTTTTTAGGATTTCAACTTAGAAAATTTTATTAAGTCATAATGATTTTTACTGTCACTTTGTCCCCTAATCCTAATTTAGAAGTAAAATGCTGTGATTTTTTTCAAAAAACATTAAATGTCACAATTTAAGTAGCAAAAATCCAAACAGGATAAATAAATGTCATACACATTCTGAATGGCTAATGCGAGGAGAAGAGTTACATACCATACACAAGACAGAGGTGATGTAGGACAGCAGCGGTTAAAATGACCAAGTTTCATCACGACTTCTGATGAGTGGAGCAGAACCTTGTTGGAGGTCAGCCAGGCAGCACAGCATTGAGGAGCTATCCATCAAAGGCGCTTAAAGGTGTTGCGTCCCAGTATATTCATTCTAGATATGGACTGATAGGAGAACACCTGGTGCTTCATAATCTTGGTCGAGTCGCATCCCACCTCATTATTGGTGTATCTATTCCCTTTTTGCTCCTCAGCAAAACATTAAAAATGAAACATGAAAGCAGGGCATTCATCTGCAGGGAGGGACAAAAAAAAGGGACAGCACATGCCAAAAGATTCTTTTAAATGAAATTTTAATTAAATGGTCTGTATGATAAATATAATGGAAAGCATATGGCCCTCTGGAAAGAAATTGTGTTTACCATGAGTAAAACTGGTCGCTTCTAGGTTAAGCGTCTGAAGAGTTTAGCACTGAAAACAAATGTCATGGTGATGTCTATTAACAAAATAACTGAACTGATGGTAAACCAGATACCCCTTTGGACACATACGTGCTAAAATTATGAGCTCTTCTGTAGTAAAGGTGCATTAAATGTCACATATCTTACATGCAGTTTGCAAAGATAAATGTTCTGTTTAGGCAGGCATGTAACAAGACATTGTTGAGAGCAGATTTTTGCACGGTAATCAGATGAGATTTAGGGTCAATAGCTTTTGTTGCTATTATAGAGACGAGTCTCAATATTAGCCAACTGAAATTTCTGGACCCTCTGAAGAGAAGAGAAGTCGTTGATAACATATTATTTTTTTCTGCTGTGGAACATCAGCTAAGAGGAGTGAAAAAAATGTGCCAGATTTTGATAATGGTTATTCCTGTATAAATTTGGAAGGATGCCTCAAGAATTGGTCTAGGTTTTCAATAATGCAAGTGACTCATCAAGGACATAATAAATTTAAGCTCCAATTACTTTGTATAAAATAAACATTTAAGAGTTATTAACAAGGTGAAATATTTCCTTGGTCATAAACTACTATTAACCCCCGAAATCATCAAACTACGTTCTAAGGCTGAGCATGTGTTCTCAAGGATTCTTACTATTTCAATCCTAATGAAGACCATGCAGATTTTTCTGAATGCCTTTCCCCTTTGTTTCAACTTGCCTTGCAGTACCCAGAGCATAAAAAAGTGAACTCGAGTCAGCCAAAAGTAGCAAGAATGAAAAAGAAAAAGGAAAATTTGCTCTTTGTCTTCAAAAACAAACAAACTAAGGTTTCCTGCAGCTTCGCAGCAGAAGGGCCCTCACTGTAGGACCTCATTTGCTTTTGGCATGAGCGTGGCCTCATCCATTTTCAACAGCCATGAAGATAATGAGTTCATTGTTATGGAAATGAGCTCATTGTGGGTAATATGCGCCAACTCCTGCTTGATTTATAGAATGCATCTCAAAGTTCAAAGATGGATTTATTTATAAAAAGGAAAAAAAAAGACAACAAATCAGAAACTGTTGGATCACATTTTTGATCTTGTGACTTCCTATAAAACCTGACTTAGAAAGCATGCTCTAAAATGATGAAATCAAACTGATTTTTTAAATTTTCAGTATTAAGGTGATTGATTTGGGCATTTTATGCCATTCTCTAGCATTCAGCAATTCCTATTTTACATCATGATTTTCAAGTCATGTGAGGCATTTCCATGCAATTTTTCTTGAAGCACACAAGACACCATGTCTTAATAAGATGTTCTAAAATCAAGATACTTTCTCTACGTCCTTCCAGATTTTTCTACAATAAATTCAAAGGTATTAGCTAATAAGAGCCACTCCTAGCAAGCAACTCCTTCCTCTTTTTTCTAAACATGTATAACAGCCTATCCTCGCAGAAAGTGGGGGCAGATGGAGAAGTCCTTTTGGACTGAATCTTTTTGATTAGTTTCACCTGAGACAGAAGAGTGTTTTACATCATAAAGATACAGTTAGCGTAAGCTTTTGGGGGCCCTATGCTGACAGATTACAGGAAGTGAGATTAGAATAAAAGGTTCGGTCAATATTTCTCAGATTGGCATCACATCTCATCGGAAATCTGTGAAAAGACATTCTGATGTGACCATCTGACATGGTCATGCACTAACTTTTCAACCATCGCTTACAATTCAGCAAGAATTTGCCTTTTTTTTTTTTTAACCTAATGGTATTTTGGCTCTGTTCTGTTGGCTTTTTTCCTAGTAGTCTAGGAAATTTATTGGCAATAATATTAGTTAAGGATATAATTGACAAGTTAGATGAATTCATCTTCAGAGGGACAACAACAGACATCTAAACAGGATTCCAACTTGAACAACCCATGAGTTTTGTGCAAAATATTCTTTCTGCTTCCCTATCTGGGAGATGGATCCAAGTATCACAACTAGGGCTTTTTAGTATGACGAGACAAAACCAAACTCCAGACCCTGAAGAAAAGAGAAAAATATATCAGAGTTTAGCAACAAAGGCCCTCCTCGTTCATAAATGCACATATAACAAGCTTAGAATATCCATTTAATATATCTTGAATTAAAACTGCTGAATTTTCACAGTTCTGTCTGAAGACACTGGACCAAATTCATGTCTGCTGTAATTCAGTGAGAATCAGCTACGTTGCACAGAATGAGTTTTGCTTTTATTTGAACTATGAGAGGGTTTAATACATACATACACACGTGCACCTATTATTTTTCTTCCCTGAAACTAATCTTTTTTTTTTTTTAATAGATGTCTCAGTCTTGCTGAGACAGTTATCTGGGAACAGCCAAGCCTGAAACAGCATGGCACATCAAAAAAAGATATATATAATACTTTGGCCTTGTTCCACCACCGCTGCAGACAGGGTTGAGGCAGCTGCAGAGGAACAGCTGGCAGCATGCTTAATCCCTCCAAAACGCTCAGGTTTGCATCCTGACAGGGGCTTCTGTTTGGCTGGTTGTTTTTGGTTTTTTCCCCAAGTAATGATGGATGGGAAATGGGGAAAAAGAAAGAGGAGAAAGAAAGTCCCAGCACTGCGCTACTGGGAACCCTAAAATGCCTGCCTAGGAAACGACAAGATTTCAGAGTCTGACAAGAGTTTAGGGAATAAAGGGTAATTTGATTACAGGTGCTCAAGTAGCGTTCATTTTATTCTGATTATCTGAGAAATGTCTCTAGGGATTGCACACTAACCTTCTCAAAGAGCAGATAAATGGCTCTATTAAAAGCAGCATAGTTTGTTCATGGCTCTGTAGCATCTGACCATTTTATGAACCCAGTGAAACTGTAAATAGGAAACGAGAGAAGAAACATCTTCCTCAGGCCTTGTGCAGATGCCTGTATTTGTCTTTGGTGATTTGTAATCCTGAAAGGCAGTTTACACTTAGACAAAATATTGTAGCAGTATTTTCTTCTTTGTATTTGCTTTAAAGGTCAGACATACCAGAAAGCACAATAAGAGGCTTCTTTATTTTTTAAGCTTAGAAAGAATGGAAAACTTGAATCTACATTTAATTGTTTATGTTATTTTCTTGCTCTCAAAAATAACAAAAAGGCCAGAATGCTAATTTCTGGTCACAGAGAAGCAAATGTAAAATGTCTGTTAATGCTAAAAGGCTATTTCCCTGTAGCGACTCATGATAAATTGCATAATTTAGACTTTCTCTAATTAAACTCATTTTTTTCATCTCTGAGTTAAAATATTTTGAAAGGAAGCATAGGAAAAAACAAGTACAATTTTAAAACAATATGCAGTATACAAGCCACATACACTGCATAACAGTACCCAAAGTACAAGGCGCTTAAAGTAGACAGTGCTATATCTCTTCAGTAGATTTGCACTGAGGGAGCGTATTGAATTCAGATAACAAGGCATAATACTCTGGTCAATATAGTGGCTTTGGACATGTGTGTGCAACTCCCATGGAAATTAATGAAAACAAAGCACAGACTTCTCAAGCTAAAACCAGGTATTAAAGGCCAGATGTAAAACTTAGCAAAGTCAATGGAAGTCTTGACTTAAACGAGCTTTGGATCAATGCCAAGAGCTGCTTTTGCAAACGTTTCTGCAAGCAAAGTTCAGAGGACAAAATAAGCATTTCCATGCTATTTTTGGTAATAAGCGCTTCCAAAGGTAAACTGAGAAGGTATCATTACTGCCCTGGAAGCAGCTTTGCATGGAATTTCCTTTCCTTTAAGGAAAATACATGTTTGGCTTTGCAGAAAATAGCACTTCCGTGGTTTCAAATACCTGCTATACACAAAACACTATCTGACAGCAGAAGAAACTGAGCCAAGAAAACAGACGAAGAGGTCTGCTGGAGCTATAACTTTCCAGGCGCAAATGGGTGAGCGGAGAAACGTCTCATCCCCGAAGCTGCCCTCAGCCTCCGCGCTTCCCCGAAGCTGGAGGCCGCTTGGGCTGGGAGAGCTGACCAAGCCCAGCTCCGCAAGGCACTTCGCTTTCTTGCGCGCCATACGGACGTCTAGCGCCAGCTATTTGCCATTTTAGGGGCCTCACAATAAGGACTAGCAGTCCTTGGGGGCGAACACGTGACGCGGCTCGAGCGCGGCGACCGAAAGCCTGCGGCCGCCCTGCTGCATCCTGCGTGCCGGCGCATGGTTGCTATTACGTGTGTCGGTGCAGCTGCATGTCCCTTTTTTAAATACTTTCCTATCTGCTGCCAGTGACTGTAAATTTAATGAGAGCACCTGCTGCCCTCTTGCCTAGTTAATTCACAGTGATCTGCCTCAACTAAAGGAAATTTCAAAAAAGCCTCTGTTCTTCAGTAATAAATTACCAGTCTATATCATGGCCTAAAGGGCCTTTGATTCATGTAATATTACACTTACACTAAGCACTGCTGGCAGCCAGGACATTTAGTTGCTCTAAGTAGAGCGGGGGGAAGGGGGCAGAGAGGCAGGAGGGAAGGCAGAGGAAAGGAAGGGAAGTGACTGGTGAGATTAAATACAATGAGAAGATCAATTGCCTGAATATTGACAGCTGAGGGAGGTCTTTGTCCTTGACCTCTTATCCTGAGGCATTTATTCACTGAGGGTAAAAGCCCCAGCTACTGAAAATTCACAGTCTCAATTGACAAGCTACAATATGGGGCATTTCAATATCTTTTCCTAAAACAAAAATGTAACGGCTTCCTTTCTCCTGAATTTTGGATTTAACCCACATACCTCTCGGTAAAATGAGCGTTGTTCAAGTTAGGTCGTAACACTGTAAACTGAAATGAGCAATGTCTGCACCAATTATCTTTTTATGGATTTCCT